GCCACCACAGGCACCCCCCCCATATGAGTGACGTTGAGCTGTCCATGTCTCCTGGCCACACACCCCTCCAGATCAAACACAACCCTGATGCGGCCCTCAATGAAATTGAGTTTGACACCCCTGATCTACAGTGAGGATGAATATCAAACTATTTCTTCTGATGCTCTCAGTTCTCCAAGCAAAGCAACCCGATCAAACTTTTTGAACTTTGCATTTATCAAAAATTGCCACTGCACTCAAGGGCAATTCTTTATATGGAAGATTTCTTCTGTCAGTCCTATAGACCCAAACTAAAGGTGGCTACTTAATTGTAAATAGGTTGTATTTATCAACTCGTGTTTTGCATGCTTTGAACAGCTGGATTGGTAGGAGCTGGAATGAATGGCAGGTGCTCACCCTGTCATGCAGCAGCACTTAGATTTTGAATGCAGGCTTGCTGATTGTCAAGCCAGTGTTCTAATTAAGTGAGCCACTGCACTCCCTATGTACTGTTAATATAATAAGAAAGGTCACAACTATTTGTATAGGTTTGTAGCATTGCAAGGTTTGAGAATTCCTGCCTTACTGCTGCTGTTATGACTATTTCTGACCTTTGTTGAAATAAGACACCCTTTAATGGAGGTGAAGGCATGTTCTGTTGATTAAATATTTTGATATTTCCCATGTTGAAAGGCTGATATGATGAATTACTGTCAATAAGTCAATAATTGTTGACTTATTTAAATAATATCTCTAAGGTTAGTTTGAGCAACTGTAATCTTGGCGGGGTTAAGCTACTTCTCAAATGCAACAGAAATTTACACTTACATCAGCACAAAAAATTAAAAATTGCTCATCCCTGGTGGTTGCTTTTAAATCTAAGTTTTCTACAACGATGTGATAGAAGAAGGATAAAGACGGGCCATTTCCAATAAGATGTCCCCAAACACTGAAAAACTTTGTTTTAAATTTAGTTTTGACATTGAAGAATTTAGAAACATTTGGCAAGAATCTGAAAAGCTTAAGGACATTCCCACCTCAAAACAGTTACAATGAGAATGAGTTAGGACAAAATTTTCAGACTGCACATGGTCTTGGTGATCTAGGGCATTAAGATTTCTCTGGGAGGTCAAAAAATCAAGTTGTCACCCATGACTGCAAAGTCCCATCCCCTTTTAAATATGTATTGTGTATGTAGGGCATGTTAAAAAGCACCAAGACTTTGAGTGTGCAGTCATATCATCTTGCCTTTTTTTTGTTTCTCATTGCAAATGCACCTTATCTTCCAGAACCTGGTTTAAACATGAACGTTGCTTTAATGAAAGATGCCCTAGACAGCATACTTCTTGCAAACTAATTTATCTTTTCTTTTTCTGGATAAGTAATCAGGTACATTTTTGTATAATTGTGTCCTCTCCTATCCTTCTATTTTCTAAGAATTACCTATGTGGTTCAGAAACATTTGTAAAAATAGCGAACTGTTGTGTGGAAGTTTGTAGTTTCCATCATGCAGACTTCCCATGTACTATTTATTGTGATTAAAATAATCCAAAAACCAGGTGGGGTACCAGAATTACCTTTCTTGTTTTCATTCTGGTAACAGCTCATCACAATTGCTTTGTCAGTAAGTCAACTTGCATCCACACAAAATGCTCCCTGAATTCCCATAGGGGCCACTGGCTGAACAGGGTGACTTTTCAGAGTTTACAACAATGGGATTCACAGACCACACTTGACTTATTTTAATCATGGCTTACTAAACAAATAAATTGGCTGGATTTCATACATCAGTTAAGGTACCATAGAGTTTCATTGGGTTTGGTTTGACATGCATGGACTAGCAATTGCTCTTCATAGGTCCCAGCAAGAGTCTTCCTTAAGACTTCTGAATGGTTCTTGTGGCTTTTATCATGCAGTGAATGTGTGCTAATGTTGAACTTTGGCCTTTTTGCAATAAATAGTCTTTCCTGTCTGTAAGACAGGATATAGGAAAATTCTAGTCTAAAGCCATTCAGAATTATAACATTAGTGCCAAATCCTTGGACTGAGCCTGAAATCAAGGTTTGTGCCACCACAGTGGGACCTGACAAATGCATTATGCGTCTGTAGTCTTGGTTACTTTTTGAGTTCAGCCTGACCTCTAGTGACTTTATGACTTCATGTACCTTTCTTGGCAAAGTCAGACATGATTTGCCACTGCTGTCTACTGAGGTACATTTTAATCTCCCTGATCTAATCAAGTCTTGGTATTTCCTGAATGCCTCCCTTTTATGTATTAACCACCTCCAGCCTGATTCAATTTCCAGCCTAAACAAGGACACCCAAGAGTTGCCTCAGGCTGAAATATCTGTATACTGTTTTCATATTTACCTGTAAATTTTCATAGAATAAATTACATTGATTGAAACAAGGTTTGGCTCCCTCACTTGTCTGATGGAAATAGTAGCACTTAAACCCTTAATTTTTCCTGAACTCTAGTAAACAATTTTTTCCTAGCAAGGTCCACTTCACTGGCAGTAATAGAATTGTCACTCAAAGTTCTACCAACAATGACACCTATCTTTTCTCAAATTGCTTTTGGTTCCTTCTCATTCAAGCTGTTTTGGGATAGAAAACTATTGCATTTATTTTTTTCCGAATATTTTTAACCATCCGAATGCAGACCCAAGTATGAACATGTGGATACTGTAGATACAAATAGTAGGTAGATACAAATAATATTTGCACTTCAAATGTGCATTTATCCACAGGACAGCTTTTAGGAGTAAATTAATTGCTGAGAAAGGGAGGAATAAAAGGTAAGCTACAATCCTGACATATTTTCATTGTGAAATAGGAAAAAATTGCTTTTTTAAAAGAAGATATCCTTACCAGATAATCTGGTAAAACCACTGAAGTTTGAAATGTTTATATAGGTTTGTAAATGTTTATAAAGGTTGTGTCAAAGAGAGATGATAGATTCTTTTTGCTCATATCTATACTTACATAGAATGTGCTCACATGGTTTAATATGCCTCTTTACTTTGCCTATTGCTTAGCTAAGTAGCAGTACAGGCTGAATTTTAAACTCTTTTTTGCTAGAATGTAAAGGTGTAGCTTTGTGTTGCATTGTTGTTAATCCATCACTTCTCTTCTTTGATGGAGAAACAAAAGTACTTAACCTGCCATCCGGATGGATTAATTTATGTTGTCCACAATCAAAATGTTGTACCATAGCCACTTTTATGCAGGTCGCAGGGTCCAAGAGCTGTACAAGGACACATTTAAAGGTATCAGGATAAGCAATTCTGACCTTGAGGAATCAAGTGCTGGGCTCTCCTAAGCATGCTCTTCCCTAATGCATCATCTCAGTTGCCCTAGGATTGTTACTGAACACTGTTGTTTTTGGCAAAACCAAGTGTTTGGCAAGTCAGGCTTATAAAAATGTATGCAACTGGTTTGGCTGGTTACGTCTAGGTCAGTTAAACTCCTTTCTTTTCAGAATGAAACTCTTCTTTTATTCCAGTCTTGACTGCTTCAGAATTTGTAAACAACAGAAGGAGATAAATCAAGACTTGCATGGATACACTCACCTTAGGAGACAAAAATTTCCCCATCTGTTAAAAGAAAATGGATCTTGTTCTCCCCCCACCTCCAGGACATTATTATTGCACCAATCACATTTAATTATTATTTAATTATTATTGTATATCGATAGCGTACTAATTCCCAAAAGCCCTTTTCCTTACGAATGAATGGAAGTAGTTCTGTTGTATTCCTTATTGGTGATCATGTTGATGTTATCACACTTGGTTATGTGCTGTACTTTGCAGGAGTTCCTTTCAAAGCTTGGATGATGTATAAGTACCCACTCTGGGTACTTACTCTGGGTACTCTGGGTAGGAAAATAGGTGTGTCAACTGAAAATTTCAGAATCTGAACTATAGAGCAATTAAGTTAAAAGGTGTGGTAACTAAGCCAAGGTTGCCCAACCTGTAGTCCCTTAGAATATCTCCTAAAATTGCCATTAAAATGTATGCCATAATGAGATTGAAAATGGACATTATGAAATCATTGGGAGCGATCATATTCCATTAATTTAAATCATTTTATTTTGACTAGGCTGGCACGTCATTTCTCAGCATGCATTTGAAAGCAAATGATTTACCTGAAAAAGATTCCATGTCTCTTTGGATAAGATTTTGCACTAGTTGTAGTGTCTTTCTACTTTTTCTAACACTTTCGCACATGCAGTCACTGAAAAAGACCCTGAATTTTAGAAAGACAACACCACATAGAAATTATGCTCAGAACAAGAACAGACTATAGCAAGAAGAACTGATGGTAGGTGGATCAAAGCAGTCATAGAATGGATCCATCTTGTTTTAGGTTGTTTTTGTGGATGTTTTTTTATCAAGTGGATCCCATTTGATAAAAAGCATCCACGAAAGAGACCTAAAACAAGATGGATCAATGACATCAGCAAATATTGTGAGCACAACTGGCAAGAAAGCTCAGGAACTGTTGTGGTTAGCCGGCAGCAGGTGCAGATGAGTGAGGATTCTGATGAGGGGCAGGACCATCAGGGAGTGGACTGCTGCCTTCAGGGATTGTGGGGGCTGGCAGCAGTGACAAGGAGGTTCCGGAGAAGCCTGTGCCAAGTGTGCATGAGCACAGGATGATTTGTAGAAGAGAACAGTTGGAGCAACACAGGCGACTCAGGAGTAAGGATGCAATGTAATGGCCCCTCCCTCCAGGGAATATAAGTCTGCTTTCAAAAGGTTTTTGCTTTTGCAGAAAGCAAAAACGTTCTAAGGACTCAGCATTATGTGTGGAGATTCCAGCTTACCTGAAGAATTCTGTCAAGGTTTTTCTGGTTGGACTAATTGGCTGCAAGCCATCTTTTATCTACAAAGAAGTTATTTGTAAATTAAAGCTGTGAAGGTTTGAGTTGCTGCGTTTGTTTGAGATTTTCTTGCTGGTAACGGGGTTGGGTCAGAACAGGAACATACTTGTTGGAAACATGCAGAAGGGGCCTCCATCCTGCAGTGGATAGACAATGGCTAAAATGATTGATGATGATGATGATGATGACCACTATCAGCCTCTTGTATTCTCATAGGACTCTTGGTGTGTGTGTGTGTGTGTGTGTGTGTGTGTGTGTGTGAAAAATGTCAAGAAGTGCCTTTTTATGACTGAAATCCTGGTCTTCTTTTTTCACATACAAAAAAAGAACGGGGATTCAACCATTTGGTGTGCTGCCTTGTTGACATTTTTACTTCTCTGCAGACACCCCACCTCCTCCCACAACTATTGGATGCTCAGAGGTCCAATAAGGCTCTCTTTGCCAGGCATCTGTGTCTCCCAACTGCTCTGTTCACATTTCCTGTAAAGCCCCCTGAGAAGAATTCTGCAAAGTATTCTAGGAAAATTATACAACCTCGAATGGCTACTTGGGAACTCCTGATACGCTGAAGACTCTTGTCAGGATCATTAGAGGTGCCACTGTGGTGTCACTTCTTGTGACAAAAGTCCCGGTTCCTACTCAGCAGTATAAGCAAATAAACAGGTTGTATATATTACAATAACTTATATTACCATTTAGAGCTCATCCAGAAAAGCCTACAGGCTTAAGGTGCTCATTTCCCAATTACCTAATCACATATAAATGCAAATGAAAGAAAGAGCAAAGAATAGCATTTATGCTTGGATATACATTATAATACAGTTTGCAATAAAAAAGTAATGAATAGAATTAAAATAGAAACAGAGGGAGGGACAACTTCGCCCAACCTGCACCTGCTCAATGTGTAGACAGATCAAAGGCAACATATGGATGGGCAATTTCCATATGTTCTACATCATTAAAGTACAGCTTGACTGTGTAGGAAGCTAGCACCCACCCTCCCCCTAGAACAATGAAATATCCTAGGAAATATTAAAAAGGCAGAATATTTCCCCTAAAAGGAGTAGAAATTCAGAAGCAGAAACTCACCTCAGAAGCAGAAGCTCATCCCTCACCTTTGTTAATGGGTGGGCCATTAAGGCCTGGGCCAGAATATTTTACATAACAGAGATCTCCAGGTAGAGCTATAGGAATTGCCTAAAGCCCTTTCAGTGCATCATCATCCAGCAAGGCTCAGCCAAGCCTGAAACTCAGGTGAAGCCACGTGGTCCAGACAAAGCTGACAAAGTTAGCTAAGACCCCCGTCCCTGGGAGTCTGACAGCCAGTGGGATACATTTCTTGCACAGGAACAGGAAACACTAAGGTGGGGCCCATCAGAGGGTATAAAACAATGGCACTCTTATCATCTTGCCCCTTTCCTTCTTTTCTTTCACCCAACATCTTGAAGCATGTGATCATCCTTTTCACTTTGGAGTTCCAAGCCATGTGGTCCTGCCCATCATTAAACCATCTTTCCAAACAGCCTCCATGTTTCCAGTGTCTTTTTCCACACTTGGAACTGAACCCAGAAGGATAATTCTTCCAACAATTGAAAGGCTTAAAAGTGGGGTCTGTTCTGTAGAAATCAGAACCTCAAAACTCCTTACCTTTGGCTTAGAGTTTTTAAATGTGTGTTAACATGTGCACACATTTGGTGGGAAGCTCTTAGTTTCCCCCCACTCCATTTCCCATTAATAAATGATGCTGAACATGTTGACTAGATGTACTGTGAGATTAAACTTTCTGTTAAACTGTTCTGTGTCTCTTCAAAAAGGAAAATGGTGTTGATCCATTTATAAACACAATTGTTTCAGAAGAGGCCTGTGATGAAGGACAGATTGTGGCTGTGTGAACAGTGAAAATCTTAATAGAAACATTCCTGATTTTGATTATAAACATAGGCACTTTACAAGACCTTATTAGACTTGATTTCCAGTTAGTTAAGCACAAAATTCTTGGATTTGGTTAAGACAATGCAGTGAAAAAGCCTTCTCTCTTTCTATCTTCTTTCTTCCACTCCCCACTTTTTATCTACAATCTATTAACTTGGATGCTGCCTGTCACTAGAGCATCTTCAGATGATTTACTGTACATGCCAGAGTTTAAAAACAGCAAAAAGATAAAAAAAAATAAATTAAAAGCTAAAGGAACAATAATAAAGATAGCCTAGTGGAGAAAAGATAGCCTGCTTAATTAAAATAATAAAAAATCCAAATTTAGAAGGATGATCATATCTGGCACTGTACAGCATGAAACAACAGCTTGTGGTTAACTTTACCTTTATGTCAGGGGTGTCAAACTCACGTTGTCACATCGTCATCACGTGATGTATCGGGACATTTTCCCCCTTCACTAAATCGGGCGGAGGTGGGGCCAGCATGTGACACATCTGGCCACAAATATGACACCCCTGTTTTATGTTAAGCTATAGTTAACAATGTTTTATTAAATAAAATACAATTGTATAGGTTTGAAAAGCTAAACCATGCCTTACAAATCCCAGTGTCAGGGTTTAAATAGTTTAAACCAGGGGTCACCAATCTTTTGGACCTCAGGGACCACCAAACTCATAATTTTAGATCCCAGGGACCACTGTGGGTTCTGTGGGCGTGGCCTAATTTGTGGGTGTGGCTTGGTGGTCATGTGACTGGCTGGGCATGGCTTGTATGTAAATATTATAAATACTGTATTTATATAAATATTGATTTTTTTTATAAAAACAAGAGCAACCTTTACCCAAAATCAGGCAAAGCAGGCAGGCAGATTGAGTTGCTCACAGAATCACAGATTCATTCAGAGATCTATCTGCCATCAGTTAGCTCAGTCTGTCACATAAAATTTGCTTGCAAGCAAACTCAAAAAATTAACTCACAACACACCATGCATGTAAATATTGAATTTTTTATTTAAAAAAAGAGCAACTTTTACCCCAAATCAGGCAAAGCAGGCATATTGAGTTGCTCACAGAATCATTCAGTGATCTATCTATCTGCCATCGGCTAGCTCAGTCTCTCAAATTTGCTTGCCGTGAGTCTGCACCGAATTTGCTTGCAAGCAAACCTTCAGTCCTAAGGGAGGTTCGGCTGTACTTAAAAGCAGAGCCGAAGATCTAAAGACTATCTGGAAAGCAAGAAATCCAACCATTTCCTGCTTCCTAGCTAATCTAAATCTCCTGGCACAGAGAACAGATAATGGTTGAAAAAAGGAAAAATAGAAATTTAGCAGGCAAGTTTACTGGGTAAGGAGGGAATGGGTGGGGAGGGTTCCCGTAGGCCATGAGGGCAGCGTAGCACTTGTGTTTCTGTGCAGCCTGGATTAATTGCTTTGTGGGGGTGTTCTTGGGGTGAGATTTCTCTGCGGCCCACCAAAATTTTCTCGCGGCCCACACGTTGGCGACCGCTGGTTTAAACTACAATCAGTTCAGGTGGACTGTCTGGTTTTCAGCAGTGCTAGGATCAGGCTGAATCTAAGATGCAGGTTAGAGGAAGTACTCACGCAAATGGACTGTGAGAACTCCTTGTACCTTGGCAGTATATGCAGTATGGACATTCTCAGTCATCCAGGTCATGGTTGTCTCCAAGGTGCTTTTTTCAAGTGGCAACTGGACTTTCTGGTTTTTATTTGAAGACTGTTTTTCGTTTCTTATCCAAGAAGCTTCTTCAGTTCAGGATGTATGCATGACCACATTGTAGAATCTAAACCATGTTTAAGTACCTGGTCAGACTCAGAGACAAAAGAGGACTCACTCCAGGGTTTCTGCAGCTATAAAAAAGGAAAGCATTACTGAGTGCTTTTGAAGACATTCGGACTGAATATCTAAATTTGGGGCATGCAGTCCAGATATTCCAGCCCATATTCATCTCTGCACCACTGAAATAAGATAAAGAGAAAGCGATGGAGTGGCTTTGGATTGGTAAGTCACCCAACTCCAGTTGGCTGTAGGAACGGTGGCTGTAGGATCGAATGATATCACTATTAACTAGGATTTTCTTTTCCCAGATGTTCACGATAGATTACTCTCACTGATGGAAGTGTATATCCTCTAATCTTCCAGATTACAGGGATGACTCAAACAGAAAATAGAGACAAGGGTGTGTTATGCAAAAGGTGCCTCCAGGACAAGGATTTTGTTTACTTGAGAAGCCCAAGCTGTGCTGATAATGTGCCACAAAAGGGGTGATTTCTAGGAAAGGATTTTCTGGATGCAGGTATCCCTTTGTGCATTCTCAAAGTACAGAAGTTAAATCTGCTTTGTGATTTTATGGTAGAAACACTGATATGAGATACACATAAAAAAGAGGCAGAACTTCAATCAAAAAATGTTATGGCCACCATCTGGACATTTTGATTATGCTCTGTGGACACTTCAATATTTTTAAGTCGAATATTAGTGATGTAATAAGGTAGTCCAGCTAGCTTTTCTATAGCTGCCCTAAGGACCTTTTCCCCTAACTTCCTCCCCCCGCCCAAAGCTTTATTCAGAATTGAGGCAGGCACAAAGGGGAAACAAATAACGTCCTTTACAAACGTGAGAAAATATTGATCACTGATGAGTTGCAGGTCCCAGTGCCGGGATGAATCAGCTGACGACCTGCACCCAGACAGACTGTCTGGGTGGGCTCCTCTTGATGGCAAAGATGACAGACACAAAGGTTTCTTTTGGTGAGAGGAAAAAGAGCCCAGAGCAAACTTTGCCCCTCTCTTTTATTGTGCAGCAAGCAGGGGGGTGGGTTTAGGTTACATGAGGTTAGACAGGAACAGGAAACACTGCCATATATGGTTAATCCTTATGCTATAGCTGACTCAGGATTTTGTACAGGAACAGGAAACATTGCCATATATGGTTAATCCCTAGTGACTCAGGTTTTACACGTAGCTGTTCCTATAGTGTCACCCTATATATGTATTGTATGTGTATTGGTTTGTCTGTGTACGTGACTTCCTACTGATGTGTCATATCGCAACAGATCACCACGTTATAAGTTGTTGCATCCATAAGGTTTGGTGCAGCACTGGGTCCAGATTCTAATTCATGCATTGGCAGCCACCTCCAATGAACCTTAATCTAAGATACATTGTACTTGGTACTGTATGGCTTCATGTGAAAAGAATCTTTCCACCCTACCTGACCTCAGTAGATATCTCAATCCTCAATCCACCCCGGATAGGGGCTCCTTTTCCAGAGACTTCCTCCTACCTAGCATCTCTGATGTTCCACTTAGCAATACTGATCAGAATGTTGTGATAAAAGTACTTTTCAAACACAAAACAAGGGATGAGAATGGGGAATCTCTTTTCTGGATCAATCGAAGAAGGCAAGCCAACTTTAACTCCCCTTTAAATAGGCAAAGCTCACCAAGGTTGATGTTGCTTAATGGCCTAGTTGACCTCTCCATGACCTAATTTTTTTGTATGTGCTGGAAAGGTGGGACTTCCTCTCTGGACCAGATATCTGTTCTTCCTGCCTGTCCTCCCCCACACCCTCAGTGCCTGCACAAAACTGGACGTTGATTGACTTGAGTATTTAGTGCTTCTAATTCCTTTGAATTTTGGGGTGATTCTGGTCTACAGCGGCTCTTGCAATCATCAAGCACAGTGTTGCCTTCTTTTCTAGAATATTGATCATAGAAAAAGCATCTCTCAGAGCACATAGAAGTTAAAGGAAACAAACAATAGAACTCCTTAAACCATCTGGATCTGCTTCATAAGCTGCTCATCTAGAAGTAATGAACAGCTAAAACAGCCACCATCAAGGTTGCAGGATTATGGGATGTCAAAAACATCTATGATTACATCTATACCACGGGCATCAAACTCAGGGCGTCACATTGCCATCACATGACATTTCACAATGTTATTTTCCCTTCACGGAGCTGGAGTGGGAGTGGATTGCATGTGACACAGCCAGCCCTCAGGCTGCCAATTTGACACCCCTGATCTATACAATGAAACCCTCTATTTTTTACCTGTCCATCAAAGTGACAGCTATCTCCTGACTTTTTTTGACCCCCATATTGCTGTAAAGTTTTCATAATTAAGGAAGTGCAGGTAGTTACAACAGCACTGACAAATGGGGCTTGTGACCATTTTTCACACCTACAACTGTTGCAGCATTCCCGGACTTTGGTTTGGGTTTCTTCAGCGATGGACTGAAATCTGCGATCATGCGTGGTTTCGATCCATGCTCGCCGCTGGAGCGCCCTGATCCTTTGGATTCAGTGCTGAAGCCACCCTGTAGAGGTGGTGAAGAGGGGGGAGACTGCTGGCCGAGTGGAGGGGAGCCGTATCTCTCCTCCTTGGCTGGTCTAAACTCCCTTTCCCAAAGGCAGTTGCAGCTGTGGTCAGAAATGGCCACCTCAAAGAAGAACCCGACCGGATAAGATTATGCAGGAGGAAGACAAAGAGGAAAGCAGGACAGACCGGGCTAAACAACAGAGAACATCTAAGCAAGGTACCCTGAATCTAAAAGTACTTAGAGAGATACTTCTGAAAGAAGACTTTTAAGCAGCAAGGGAGAGAGAAAAGGAGGTTAAAAATCCCTTTTCCTACTTTTACATTGATAATTACAAATGGCATGGAATGGTAAAAGAAGAGTTAAATAAGAAATTTGTGCTACTCTACTTAGACACTAATAGGCAACTTTAAGCTGGAATCTAAGTGTCAAAAGGAGAATAAAGATTTTTGGGGGGTCATTTTAAAGCCCTAAAAAGGAGAAGAGTGGAGGAAAAAGGGTGGAACTTGGAATAATGAAATAATGGAGTGCCACTTGGAAAAACAAAGGGGATTAACAGTGAAACTTTGAAAAGAGTCCCAAGGATACATTGTAATTGAAACCTTACTTAAAGATACAGTAACTTATGGAAAGTAAAAGTAAAAGAAAGAAACAAGAAGGAACAGGGCTTATTTGGTGATTTAAAAAAAAAGTTTTTGGCATTGGCTTTTTTTTAACTTAAAGTCAATCGGGTGGTGGTTTAAAAGTGTTTAAAATGATATCACTTCTGGAGGAATTAAAAATGAGTCTTAAAAAACAGAAAAAAGATGCAGAAGAGGATCCTTTGGCTTCATATTTCAATTTTTAGAAATGGAGACCCTGAACTATGAAAGGCAAAAGGAAAAGCTTCAAGAGCAAGAAGAAGGGTGGGACAAAGAAGAAGCCATTTTCAATGATCAAACAATGCAATGTGGGGTAAAAAGGGGAAATGGAGTTAAAAGTTTGAGATTAAAGGGAACAGCCAAAAAGAAAAATAGTTTGATAAAGAAGCATAACAGTAAGGAGAAGCAGAAAAGAAAATTACAGAAGGGAATATTAGAGAGAGAAGTGTATAAAAAAAGGGATGACAAAAAGGGGGAAGACAGAAAGAGAAAGAATTTATGAGGGACAAAAGCAGGAAATAAAGAAAAAGGTGAAACGTATTAGGATTAAAGGTTTTTGTTCATCTAGAAAACACAGAGATAATGGTTAAACTAAGTTAAAAGTGAGAATGCTGCAAAGGTACAAAAGATAGTATTGTGACAGTAGAATATAGTAATGAGCTAGAAATGAAATAAGTAAATAATTTATGAGATAAAATTGTATTGTTATGTAATGGTATGCTTATTTATAATCAATGTAATAATAAAGAAGATAGGGAAACATCGTAATTATTTCTAAAGGTTGATAAATATTGAAAAGAAATGTGAAAGATCTATAAGGGAATCCATACCAGTACTAGAATGAATTTGAATAATTATCTTGCTCATTAATTTTCATATATATATATATATATATATATACATGTATTGTTTTGCTATTTTCTTAGATTTATTTTGTATTTTCAAGGGGAAGTACCAAGCAGAATCTGAATGATGAGAGTTACATGATATAAAATAGATATTAGAAATTAGAATGTTATAATTTTAGAATGCACAAATTTAATGTTTAATGAGATTTCATGTGATAATAATTATAAGATTCAAAGATGTTGCACTCCGATTGGCAATCATAGGGGGAATTTTGCTTTTCAGTAATGTTGGAAGAGAGTATATGAAATTGTAAACAAGACAGACGAAAGTATAATGAATAAAAAGATATAGAAATTTAGGCAAAAGAAATGCAATTGAATAAGAAGAAAATGAGATAACTATAAAAGAAAATTAAGAGAAGTAAAGGGAGAAATAGTGAGAAGTTGGAAAAAGAGTGATAAGATATGAAGTTGAATACATAAGATGAATATGCATATGAAATTGTGTCTGTATGGAAATGTGATAACCTGGAATCTCACTGTACTCAAATAAGATGTTTTATTTGTTATGTTTTATTAAAACCCAATAAAACTTTATTAAAAAAACCTGTTGCAGCATTCCCATAGTCATGTGATCAAAATTCAGATGCAACTGGCAACTAGTTAAATAATTCTACAGAGAAATTATTGAGTCTGTCATCTGCATCTCTATAACTGTCAGGTTTGGTTCTGCAACCCAACAAGACAGACATAGACTCCAGAGAATAGAATAGAATAGAATAGCGACAACGTTACAGTCATACAGTCGCAAGTGGGAGGGGATTGGTGATAAGGAGTGATGGGAAGATTAATAGTAATAGTAATGCAGATTTTGTAAATAGTTGGACAGTGTTGAGGGAATTATTTGTTTTGCAGAGTGATGGTATACGGGGAAAAACTACGTTTGTGTCTAGTTGTTCTGGTGTGCAATGCTCCATAGCGTCGTTTTGTGGGTAGGAATTGAACAGTTAATGTCCAGGATGTAATCAGGGTCTGTAATTAGGTCTGCAGAAAAAAGAATTACCAAACTGCCTTCCATCTGGAAAGCCAGATTCACTTAACCGAGTTTCTAACTTAACAACTACAATGATTCATTTAATAACTGTGGCAAGAAAGTTCATAAAATGGAACAAAACTCACTTAACAACTGTTTTGCTTAAGAACAAAATTTTGGGGCTCAGTTGTAGTCATAAGTCAAGGGATAACCTGTATTATCATTAAATGCAGTGCTAGAGAAATTTCTTGGCTGGCCCTGAAAGAGGAAGCTGAATCTCCCTGGGACATTAACTCTTTTCTTGGCTAGTTCACTAAATACAGTGCTTGACTTACAACAGTGTCAGGATTCCAGCAATCGCCCTGATTAAATCAAGCCAAACTTCACAAAACTTCAAAGGATTTATTAGAAGTGACATACTGGCACTGCCCTGTATGAAGCCAACTCTGGCATACATAATTTAAAGTCACCTGTGGCCCTGTTCATTTAATAACTGTTCAAAGTTACATCGGCAGTGAAAAAGGTGACTTCATCGTTATGACCTCTGCCGCATCCTCACTGTCCCGGGATCCACATTCAGATGCCCGGCAAACCGGTGGTTCATATTTATGACCTTTGCTGCGTCTCAGAGTCAAGCGATCCCCCTTTTGCGACCTTTGGACAAGCCGAGTCAATGGGGGAAGCCTGAACAACAGATTCACTGAACCACCGGGTTACTCCCGCTATCAAAAAGGCAGCGATTCACTTAACAATGGTGGGAAGAAAAGATGTAAAATGGGGCCAAAACCACTTAAAGGGGTTTGCCTCGGTTTGCAACAAAAATTGGGGTGGGGGAGTTCGGTCTCCATTGATGCCGTAAGTCAAGGACGACATGTACTTCTCTCTTTTAACTCAGTGGTCCCAAAACTTGGCAACTTTTAAGACTTGTGGACTTCAACTCCCAGAATTCTCCAGCCAGCTGCTGGCTGGAGAATTCTGGGAGTTGAAGTCCACAAGTCTTAAAAGTTGCCAAGTTTTGGAGACCTCTGCTTTTAACTTGCTGGACGACTTCGCGCCAGAGAAGGGGACGAAACTCTTGCTCGAGTTGGCCCTTTCCTGAAAACGGCAAAGACTTGGTGCGCTGCTCCCTCAGCGCGCCGGGTATGGCCTGGGCCCCAAGGAAGGCGGCTTTCTCTGTGAGGGGGAAGGCAGGCGTGATTCCGGGTGAAACGCAGAGCGCGCGGGCTTGGAGACTCATTTGATTACCTCAAAGCAAATCACCTGTTTCCTCCGAAAGCCCTTCAAACAAAGTAAGCCTGTGCGGTTCCATCTCCCGGGGCTGCCAGAGCCCCGCCCACCCTAACACACACACACGCCTGCCTGAAAAAGGAGCTTTAGCCCCAGCAGCCGAGCGTGGGAGAGAGAGAGAGAGAGAAAGAAAGAAAAAAGAGAGAAAGATTCCCTTTTTCCCCCCCTTTCTTTTATTTGGGCTACCGCTTGGAGTGTTTTCCTGCTTGTCCGAGCCAATGAGACTTAACGCGGAGAGGATAAAGCAAGTGGCTGATTAGAAGGGAGCTCACTTTTCATCACTTACCGTTCAGCATGCACAAGCACGAGTCCCGGGGCTTCTCGTAAATGCCAAGGGCCTGCCTGTTCCTGACCCCGAGGTCTGTTTCTCCGGCACAGCGCCTGGATGGTGCGCTCGAATCTCCTGCCCCCAAATCGCTGCCTCTCCGGGAGGACCCTCCCCCCCTCCTCCCCGTGAGTAAACGCTACTTTTTGAACTCCGCTGTGGGAACCGCGCCGTGCTTTTTAAATGCCAGCTGCTCTCTCTCCCCCACCCCACCCGCTCCCCGCTTTGCAAAGGCTGGGTTAATGTACAGGAGCCGTTTTCAAGGCTGCTCAGATCAGCCTTGCCAAGTTTCTCTTGCTCCGTGCCTTTGAACTTGGGTGCCCCGGAGCAACTCCAAATTAAGGACTATCCCGGTTTCCAAAAGAATGCTGCTCGGTTCTTGCTCTCTGCTTGCTCTTTTTTTTTTTTAAATAAATACAAGAATTATGTGGGCATTGTTCATTTTAATACCGGTTTAGATCAGAGGAACATGCTGTGTTTGGGTTACAGACAGTATTTAAAAACAAAAACAAAAATAAAACTCTAGTGGTTGCATGGAATGTATGATATTCAGTTGTGTCCTTTTTATGTTTTTAATTTTTTTTACTGATTGGTATTTAAATGTGTAAAGTCGCCCAATGTCTGTGGAAGTGGGCTGCTGCCATACGTTTAAACAGATAATTAAATATTCGCCCTTTGCTTTTCAGTAGTCTTTATAGATGCATCCGAGTCTTGGATTTGATAAATGGTATTTTATTTTATGCTGTCCTGTATGTTAGAAGTTGGACTGTAATTATCCATAAGCTTCTGTGGAAACAAGTCTTATTGAATTTAGTGGGATTTATTTAATGGATAAAGAGGCCCAAGGTCAGATGACAAAGCTTTTAGAGGGAAGCAATTAGATGCAAGCCTGCAGGTAGGGGCCAGGAGCCTTGATTTTTATCTGTCACCTGGTTTATGGGGATAAGTAAATCATCAATGAAAAAGAACTTTAAAATCTCTGGGAAATGGCTGCCTTTAAATTGTGGGTATTTGTTCCAAGCATGTTTTCATAATAAGTGGACACAACAGGACTTAGCAAAGTTGCTAAAAGTCACACTAGATAGAAAGCCTTTATTTTTGATGTTATTTATTATTTTTATATAGCAAGTAATATTTCACTGATATTGCATCTTTCCTCCACTATCTTAAGGCAGCATGGAGGAGAGTCTTCTTTTAAATTAATTCTTACAATCCAGTGAGAGAAGCTGAAGTTTTGCTGCACAAAAGGCTGATTTTTGCTCTGAATGGCCATAGGGTCCTTGGTACCAATACAATAAAACCTCATTAATAGTCGTGTTTATACCAGCTTTCTAGCAAGAAAAGCAACTGCCTAGGATGCTTTCTAAGAATGTGTCATGTAGAGAGAAAGTTTGTTGTAATAGGACTTGCTATCTTTCTTTTGCTTTAATTTAGATTAGGCTCTGGGTAGTTTCTGGGTTAGCGTATCTCTTCTGTCATCCCAATGAGTCTATGGAACTGAAATATCCCCTCATCTATACCCTCTAAGCATGGTTAAAAGCAGGGCTACTGAAATCCAGTGCACAAATTATGTACTGTGCAAGGGTGCCATATGACTGGGGTGCAAGTTGCAATATTAAAAAGAACACTAGGCAAGGGCACATAGAATATTATAAAAGAATTGGGGATGCTTAAGTGGAATTTTGCATCAGCATTCCTTGAATACCAACAGACCACTGGTTAAAAGTACAACTTGAGGGATCTTTGGTGCCCTCTGTTTTCTTGTGGACATTTTTTCAAGCAGTTAAACAACAAATGTCAATTAGTGGGCATGTGTAGGCAAACCCAGGAATTGTGAGTTTAAGGTCCCTTTAAGAGTATGCAACATATACAGGTGTGTGTGTGTGTGGGGGGGAATGTTCTTAGGAGGATGAATTATGACATAGTTGCAGGTGAAGTGAGAATGCAGATGGTGGGGCCAGCTGATAAAACGTGCTCTCCCTTTGCAGAGTTGGTGTGAACAAAAACTCTGGAAAGTAGGGCTGTATCCACCTGCAAACAAAAAGTAAATTGTACATATGAGTAAGCTGTTCATTCTACTAGTCTGTATTTTGCTGATTCTTTTTTTTTTTGCAAACTGGACATGATCCTTGGAGTGGAGTGCAAGGCTGACATGATCCCAATCACACTGGACATATTTAAATCCACACATCAATCTGACAAACACATAGCCTTTACTTTGCACTTCATCTATTTCCTTCCCTTGCCCTTCCTTCAGAAGAACAGCCTCCAAATTGTTGATTTCCTCTGTCATTGTTTGCAGGAAAGCTACAATTTGTGCCCTGCCACTCAACCATTCACTTACCTGAGTAGCCAGCTGACCAATGAGACTAGATTGTTTGGTTTCCTGAACTTCATAGAACCATAGAGCTGGAAGGAACCTTGGAGGTCTTCTTGTCCAAGTCCAGGTTAACAGCAACATAAAGAAAAATAAAACAGGTGTGATCTTTTAGTATTGAAAGTGCACATGTAGCCCTTCTGGTCTAGGACTTGTTTGTATGATATGTCATACAAACAAGTCCTAGACCAGAAGGGCTACATATGGGTCATGGGTGGTGGGTGGAAGAAGCACAATGGGCAAACTCTAACTCAAAGATCTCCAAACTTGGCAACTTTAAGACTTGTGGACTTCAACTCCCCTGGCTGAGGAATTCTGGGAATTGAAGTCCACAAGTCTTAAAGTTGCCAAGTTGGGGGACTCCTTCTTTAACTCAAGGAAATGACCTGCTTAATGAACTTAGAGGGGATTTAGCCCCAGACACCTCTGCATTTGTTTGGATCCAACTAACTTGCCTAACTTATCAACATATGGGGCTTTTCAGGGAACTTAGCTTTACAGTTTTTACACCCAATGGCTACACAAGTAAGGTGTTGACAAAAGGGCAGAAAAAGATATTAATTGGGGTCCCTCTAAATATATGTAGGGAGGTGACTGATTTCAACCCTGCAGATTTTTCCTCCATACAGTATTGGGGAAGAAGTCAAAAAGTAGTGATGAAAATGTCAGTCTCCCCATTTTTATTGCAGCTGATGAAAGGATTGGTTTGTTTGTTTTTTGCCACCTTATGTTGTGTACTTATTGGAAGACAAAAGTGAACCTTCTGACTAGGAGAGTAAATGCATGCTGGGCAAGCACATTCTATAGTTGGGGTATTTTTCCAGGTTGGCTGAAATGCTGTGGAAAATCTGTGACCCTTCCTAATGTTTCCAAGTTCATCAAGTGAAAATGTATTAATGGAAGTTGTACTTACCTTTTTTCTCCCTATTATTGTAATGTTGATACTTTGTGTTATTTCAGTGCAGATTTCAATGTGGTAATATTTACATAATATGATTAAAGTTTCATTATTTAAATGTGTTGAAAATAGAAAGAGAAAACTAAAATTTTATGGGTGTTAATTGCCATTTTAGGATGTCAGTGTTACAAGCATAAGATTATTTAACTTGTCATCCAAAATTGAATTTAAGGTAAAAAAAGAGACCACTGCAATTCATATAAAAGTATTAGTGATCTATCAATAGTTTCCATCTTAATCTAGCTATTTAATATTAATGTAATATACAATAATATTGTTATTAATATACATATATGTACCTGTATGTGTGTATGTTGATAAAAGGCAATAAAAGATAGGCAAAGCAAATTTAACAAGGTAAAAAACCTAAAAGTTAAATTACTGTAATTCAAAAGGAGATTTGCATTTACTTTGGAATACCTGCTTTCATGCTAATTAGTGAATTATCAATGCAGATGATCATGCCAGCCATTTAAATAGGCAGATCCTAGGCAAATTACCTTGAAAGAGGAAAAGGCATTAACTTTTGTTTCAGTAATAGAATTTTGACAAAACCTTGCAAAAGGAAATAATTAAATTTGGAATCTGAAAAGACATGAATATGTTTTTCTCTCAGAATTAACTATTTCAAAATATTATATGAGTTTAATGTCACTTTGAAAAGATTGAAATAAACTTGCTTTTCTCCCTAATAGCTCATCTGCAAACAGAGCATTATAAATTGATAGTTGCTACAGTCTCATATCCAAAAAGAAAAGAATTCTGGGATATATTTGTTCTTCTGCAAAAGAGAAATGTATTGGAGCAATACTTTCAAAATTACTTGGCATAGTTCTCAGATCATTCAACATGAATGGGTTTCTGGAATGTATTGTCTATATCTGGGTGGCCAACTGCAGAGATTTTTCTTGATAAACAGTATAGATTGTGAATAAAGTTTGAATTAATGAGATGTCAACTGTTTCTTGTTTAAGATAAGGTAGAAAACATCATATAACAATGAATACATTTTCTTTGAGGTTCAAAATGAGAGGCACAGTACTAATAACTGACAGTGGGACATATGATATTTTCTTGGCTAGAAACAAATACATTAAAAAGGCAAAGCTTGTTTTGGAAACTTCATATACGAAATGTTCTTGACATACAAATATTAAAATCTATTTTGGTGCATCATAGGTGCTACAGCAGGGGTGTCAAACTCATAGCCCATGGGTCAGATGTGTCACATGCTGGCCCCGCCCCTGCCTGGTTTAGTGAAGGGGAAAAACGTCCCAATATGTCACATGACAACACCCCTGGGCTACAGTATTAGGTTTCAATTAGTTTATCTAGAGTTGCATCTCATTTAACTGTTGCCGTCTGTTTCCAAAATACTAGCAGAAACAAGCATTTTGTTCTTTCAGATATAAAAAGTGCATTGATGATGATATTACCTAGTTTGGTAATGAAATGTCTGCAAGAAAACCAAGCTCAAAGAGCACCAAGGATCCCACAGTTCAGCCTGGCTTCAAATATTCTTTTTGCACCAAGGACCTCACAAATTGAAAAGTGTTAGAAAGCTGGCAGGAATTAGTAATGTAGAGTCCCTTAAGGTTAGATGGGTAGCAAATCCAATGAATAAATAAAATAAAATAAAATGTTAGAACTGAAATCAAAGCAAGAGAGAAAACTGGCTAGCAAAATAAGGTAGCATTAGGAAGACTAAGCTTGTTGAAGAGATGCAGGTTCTAGGATGATCCCTGAAGA